AAAAGCATTAAGAATACAAAGTTCCAAAAAAAACACCAATAAAACAATTTCAAAAAGGTAAAACATTACATGTTCAAATTTAAAATTTCAAAAATTCTTTCTAAAACTCTTACATTAACTCTAGAGTAAAACTCCTATTATAGATGTGTTTGCCTGGCGGAGGAGATGATGTGGCTTTTCGAGCCTAGGTTTTGTTCTGCGCTAAACCTCATGGCAATGGCAAACCTCCTCTGAACAAATCTTGGAAAGAAAACTCCATGATAGGGTCACCATAAGTTGGAGAGCCAGCGTGGCATAGTGGGTTTGAGTGTTGGGACTTGGGGGGGTTACAGACTGCCAGAAATAGTGCAAATTGAGTCCACTTTTAGGGTTAGTGCTAGGGAATCATGGGAATTGGGTTTTTTTCTGAGACATTGAGCCTTCTCTGTCAGAGAGCTCTGGTGCCACAATAAAATATAGTTCCCATGATTCCCTAACCCTAAAAGTGGACTCAATTTGCACTATTTCTGGCAGTCTGCAACCCCCCTAAGACTCTGGCAATCAGGGTTTGATGCCAAGGTCAAGCATAGAAATCCACTGGGTGACCTTGGGCAAGTCACACTCTCTCAGCCTCAGAGGGTGGCAATGGCAAACCCACTCTGAAGAAACTGGCCAAGAAAACCCTATGATAGGTGTGCCTTAGGGTTGTCATAAGACAAAAATGGCAGACATCAACAACAAAGTCGGAAACCACTTGAAGGCCCACAATAACAACAGCAACAACAATCCTTACCCTGACCAGGTTAGCCAGTTTTATTTTATGCTAAGCCTTGCCCTTACAAGTCTTGGCTTCCCACTTTTCTGCTTTCACCATTCACTCTCTCCCAGCCCTGATTTTAAGAAAATCAAGGAGTTCTGTGTCTTGTTCCCTTTATTTATATTTTCCAGCCCATGTACCTACCACCAATTATGAGTCACACCATGGTTTTTGAGAGAAAGTGGTGCTGCTTAGGAGTGCTGCTGTGCTGTGTCTTCCTTGCAAAATAAACTGGATTGCATAAAGGAAGGGAGGAGGGAGGGAGGGAGGACTTGAAGGTTCCAGAAAGGCATTGTGGGATGTGTAGTTTTATGGAGACAGTGGCTGTGTAAAGTATAGCAATTTAAAAAGAGAAGAGCAAAGGATCAACTATCACCTTTTTAAAAAACTGCCATCATAAGACTGAAGGTAATTTTTAAAGGCATCACTGTCATCATCTATTCCAGAACAAATAAAAGGAGAATTTTGCAACAGAATGAAGGTAATCTCAAAGGAGATGGCAACCGGTGACCCCAATTTGTAAGATAGTGAAAAATGATAAAGGAGTTGGATCTCATTTAGGTTTAGAGTCCAGCACCTTGGAAAATTCCTTTAAAAATTGTACTGGAGTTCAGAGCATGTTTGTCATCTCACTGAAGTAAATTGGCTAATGAATTGATTGAAATATTTGTCTCCCTCCTGATATTGTGTGATCATGCAGTACAGCTTAACCAATTTAAAGGATGTAAAGTAGTAAGAAATCATTTAGGCAGACCATAAAGCATGTTAAAC